AACCTCCAGCAGAACCAGGCTCAGTGTGAGCGGCCATCTGCCGAGGCCTACTGGGGTTCAAGGAGACAGAAGCAGAGACAAAGCATGAGGCTTTTACGGATCTTTTTACTTACTTCATGTCATCAGTTTGGTTTTTATTTTTTAAAGATCTGGAAGCACTGGCTCTGGGTGTGTCTGTAGGAAAAGGAATGTTAAAATATGGGAGGAAAATAAATTAATTAAGAGACAGGTTAGGTTTTATCTAGGTAAAAAAGTAGTTTTAAATATTTTTGAGTATTTGTTCAGGTTATAACATTTGAGTGTGACAAATTGATTTGCCACACTCATTTGATTTGATTTGTCACATTTAAGGGAGATTATACTTATTTATTATACTACCATGTAACAGTTATTAGTAGTAACAAAGAAAATTTGTTCCCAAAGTTTTATTTCTAACAGATGAAGAATCTTCACCCAAAGCGAAGCTGAAAAGCAGAAACCAGGGGCCGGCAGGCTCACATTTGGCCCCCAACATAGCAAAACAAACCTCACATCTAGTTTTCCTGGCAAAGGGAACAAATGACAACTTCACAGCACTTCATAAGAGACTCCTGGAAGTTGCTAATGAAGACTAATGACTTCCCTGGTGTCGAAGAGTTCACACTACAGTGTATGAGCCCTTTGAGCAGCAGCTCCATGCCCCCAGCTGCTCCCCAGGAAGCCCAAAGATCCCAGTTCATGTCACTTGGAAAGTATTAAAAAAATCATGATTAGTTTTTTTTCTTTTTTATAAAGACTTTTAAAAGTTTATTTTAACACAAATAAAGAAGCAAATGGCTCTCTGCCCAGGGTGGCATCTCACAGGGAGCAATGAAAAAGCCCCCAATCAGGTTTATTATAGTTTCATTTCATGTCAGCGCAATAGAAAATAATGACCTTTTATTAAAGGTCATAGATAACACTTATTCATCAACATTTTACAAAAAAATTACTATTGGTGCATGATCCTTTGTGTTGATGTTGACCTGTTCAAATGTATAAAACAAGTATATATATATATATTTTTTTTTTTGTTTGTTTGTTTTTTGTTTGTTTGTTTCATCAACACAAACTAATATGCACCAATAGTAATAGTAGGTTGAAGTCATGCGACTGGAAGGTGAGGAGTTTCTTTGTGAAACGGCTTCTCCTCAGTGTTACTATATTTTAGATTCAAGCCAAAATTATGGGAGCATTATTGGTACAAAATTATTTGCAAATATGTGTGGAGAGTTGTGTGTCTGTATCTAGATTTGTGTGTGTGTGGTGGGATTTGAAAATGTGTGAGAAGATTTGTTTGTAAATGTGTAAAATAGCTTGTGTGTAATTGTTTTGCAAATGTGTAAAAAAAATCCACAAATCTGTATTCAGATCTACAAATGTGTAGATCAGTCTGTAAACACAAAGAGACACTTAAGTCTGGTGTATTTTTGCTTCGACAACCAGAAATACAGACAAATCTTCGGTTAGAAGTCAAGCAGTTTCTCAGTTGGCTCTCTTTACACAGGTGATTTTTGCTACACTTCTGCCGTGTGAGATCCGCAAATGCATAGAGAGGATTCGTATGTGAAGTATGTTTATTTGCTGCCCTGAGCGCAGGCTCGCAGGCTTATGGCAGCTTTGATCATAAAATCAGCTTTTCTGACCATCAGTAATTACTTCTAAGAAAGAAAGAGAATTTTTGACTTGGAAAAACTAAATTTTTAATACCCTGAATGATACTTTAATATGTCTGAAATTATATTATGACCAGTGAAAATAATAATTCAAGATATCAATTACATTTTGGAGAGTCAATATGCAACCAGGGGTCTAATTTCACTTGCGCCCCTTCTCCTGTTAATACGGTAAAGCCCTCTGGAGTGCCCAGCTCCAGGCTACACATGATCCAAATTATCCAATGAGCTGCTTCACTCTGGGTTGCTGCTGCTGCTACTTTTAGACACAGCAGGCAAACCTGTGGCAAGGCGGGCGATGAGAAAGAAGGAGAAGACAATGAGAAAAAGAGAGCAGAGAAAGTTTGGACTGCTGGAAGAACTGTGGTGAACTGGTGAAAGAAAAGTGAAATGGCGTGCTCAAAGATGACCCTGCACATTTAGAGGATGTTTGGCTCAACCTGCTGCTGTGAAGCAGGATTCTCCACCATGAACAGAATCAACAATAAATCTGGATCCAGGCTCAAAATGAGCTCCTTGATATGTGCTTGAGAATGGCTTAGTCTCTGGTTAAACCCAGGTTTAAAGCCTTGCAGGGCAGCCTAGAGCCCACTGCTCTCATTAAGGAAACGTTCAGTTCAGGTGTTTTATAAAATATATGAATCAGGAAATGGTCTATTTACCAAACTGAACGATTGTTGTTCAAATAACTAGATTTTAAAATGGATTTTTAAAAATATATTTATATTATTTGGACCCTGCTGATTTGAATTGGTTTCCCCTGCTCTAAAGTTTTTGTTACTTATTTCCACTTTAAGGAGGCCAATAGGCCCAGAAATGATGCAGGGGGCTGCTAATAAGCCTCTGAACACAAACACGGTAAACCACAGGAAACAAAAGGAAGTAGTGGAGTTGTGCATAAAGCCAATTTGCCGTTTTTTGGAGAAATTCCAAATTCTTCTGTTGAAGATCCTGTGGTTTTCCAGGCTAAAGAAGATCAAACTGATCTTTCAGACATTCACTTCCCTCATTTGAGTTGATATAATCAACCATCAGATGATTATATTTGAATTCAATTAAGGACAAAAAAAAATCAATGCATTATGGTCAATTTATTCTTGGGAGAGACTACTTAGCAAGGAGGAAAACCGAAAACATTTTGCTAAAGAAGCGCCGTATCTTGGCAGATTAGTGGAAATTGTGAGTGGAAGGAAAAATTGCAGAATAAAAGGTCCACGAAAAACAATGGAAACTTATCTTTGTGACAGAGGATCGTGAAGCAAAAAACATGCACGTTTTTGGGGGAAACTCACAAGATTGTTGAGTCTATCACTCATGGATCTACGGGCTACGAATCTTTGCATTCCTCCCATCAAATCGCTCCCTAACCACAGACGACATCAGAAGGATCTTACCTTGGATAATGAAATTAATAGGGGGATTCACTGCTGGCCTAAAATCAATCAGAAACACTAACCTACATTAATAACCTAAATTTTTGTTTTCTTCTGTCCTGTTTATTTAGTAGCAATTATTTTGACTGTGCTGCTCCCATTACATTTATGTGGTTGTAATCAGCATTTCTGGTGTGTGTGATATATTTTATTTTCGTTCTTTGCACCATATTATCAGGTAATTAGGCTTAAAACTCTCCTTTTTGATAAAGATTATAGTTAAAGTGTCTCAGGTTATCCTGAGCTATCTCTATAGTTATGCTGCTATAGGCTTAGACTGATGGAGGACATAGGGAACCCTTTTTTATCATTCTATCTCTGTTTTCCCACTCTGCAGAATGTTAGTTCAATCTCTAACGTTATGCTTTCTCCGCTTTTTCTCATAGTAGCTTCATCTGGTCTGTTCCTGTTTGGCTGTGACTCCATCCTGGAGAGAAACATCAGCTGTGCTGCTGCCATCAACACCTTTGTTTATAGATGCTGGAGCTTGGCCTGTTTTTTTGCAGTGTATTCCTGTTTCTCTGACTAACTTTATATCTGCCTGGCTGTGTGTTTCCTGGACGGGGCCGCCTTTTACAGCTGCCTTTTGTATCTCTGCTTCTGTCTCCCTTAACCTCAGCCGGCCTCAGCAGATGGTCGCTCGCACTAAACCTTGTTTTGCTGGAGGTTTCCACCTGTTAAAAGGGATTCTTTTCCTCTCCACTGTCGCTCCAAGCATCCTTCGTGTGAGGGATTACATTAGAGTTAATGAGTTGGTTTTCCTCGGATAGAAAGCTTTGAACTAATCTGACTGGATGCTCTGGTTGAATTGTCTCTGTAAAGTGCCTTGAGATGACGTGTTGTGAACTGGTTCTCTAGAAATAAACTGAACGGCTCCTTATGATGTAAACATGGCTGAGCTGTGGTTATAGAGGATTGCCTTCTTAATTGGGCTTTTTGCTTAATTGCTCTCTGTATTAAGGGAGGTATATTCTTATCCGTTATATCTGGGCTTGTTACATTTAATATTCAAATTATTGTGGTTTGTTTTATTAAAATGCAAAAGTGGTGATATCAGCCCCTCTGACACCCATCGTTGCAAATATGCAACAAGCCCCTTTGTATTAAGATAGCATGTGCATTCCCTCAGTGCCAGTTATTACACATTCAGTGAACAGAAACCTTTGGCAAACAATTTTTTCTGTTACAACTGATCACTAACAGTTTATATTATATTTATATATATTTTTTCTGACATAATGGGGTTAAGCAGTAGATTCAGTTGAGGGGTGCCAACTGAAGGCCCAGCTGCACGGCCCGCCACTGGTTTGATTAATCATGTTTCACTGGTTTCACATAATTTTCTGCAACATTCTTGAAGTTTCTCATCAATGAGTCTAAGTTTATGAATTTAATAAAAAAAAAATGCTTTCCAATAATTTATTGAGTTGCCTTCATACTATGAATACATTCAAATAACGAGAAGAGGTTTGATTTGGTTTAAAGAATCAAAACAACAAACGTGTTTCTCAAATATATATATTTGGTTTGACATCAATGATTCGTTCAGTTCAGAACCAGAGAATATTTTCTACTGGAGTGGTCTCAGGACTTCAGCACCCCCCCATCCCCCCCAAACAAATAAACAACAGAACAAAAAGCTGTTTTTTTTTTTCTTTGTGCCCTTTGTCTTTAAAAACGATCACACGCGGCTGCCCGAGACACACCAGTCTCTCTCTCTCTTTATAGAAAACTATCGGTAAAAAACATTCTGCGTGTCTTCCTCTGAGATAGGCGAGAAATGTGACAAATTCTCCTTGAATGAGTTCGGTGGGAAAAGGCATCGGGAGGGGAGGGTCCTCATCGCCATGCATATCGGCTCCTCTTACCTCGGCTGTAAAACCCAACATTCCTCATATTTTTTTATTTTTTTTGCTGAAAGCCTCTGGTTCTCATTGATGTCCGATCAGTGCTGGTGACAGGGCGTCATCCTGGCGAGAAGAGTTTCCGTAGCTACAAATGCACACAGGAGAGGAAATAATACCAGAAATACGTTCGGTACAAAAAAACCCAGAACAGAAGCCCAAAGTTAAATGCCAGCTGAAAAGTGTTCAGTGTAAACATCTTCAGTCTGCTACAGGTTATGAGGCTTGGCGAATCGTTAGCCGGCATGGCGGCCGCCTGTCTTCGTAATGCATCGTGTAGCAATGCCGGAGTAAACAGTGGACGACAGAAAGTGCATGCTGCTGGGTGTCGGGTTCGAACCGAGGCACCTCACCGTAGGTGAGCTCAAGACGAGCGGTTAGCTGCAAGGAATTAGCACAAAACATCAAAAAAAGATGCATAAACATGTCGCTGGTAGCTGTTAAAGGCAAAGTCTGTCCTTTTTAAATTATTTTTTTTGGGAGTAAAGCAAGAGAGTGGTAGAAGCTGATGTGATATGCAGCCATGGCACATTTCAGTCATGCTGCGGGACAGAGGTCTGATGGAGCGACACGTCCAGCAGTGGGCGCTGGGAATACTGCCATCGTCTGTCCTTTAATGGCACGTGAGGGAACATTAGCGTCGACGGCTGCTGAGGAATCAACACGTTCTCAAAGAGAAAAGAAAAACAGAGGAAGATCCAGTCGATACTGGAGTTCGCTTTCAGCTCAGATGTCCATGTAGTCGTCCTCCTCGTCCGACTCGCTCTCCAGAGACGACTCCTGGCTGGACGTTTCCTGCACCTCCAGCACCGGCTGGGTCAGGGTGTCCTTCTTCACCGTGGCCGCAGACTGGGAGGATAAGATGATGTTCTGTAAGGGAAACAGGCAGCAGGGGGCAGCGTTCAGGGCTTCCTGCAGATCTCAGAGGAGGTCAGAGTCGGGAGGCGGACAGCTTACCTTCAGCCTCTGCTTGGTTTCCTCTGAGATGCTGCCTTTAGGGGAGAGCAGCGTGGGCGTCGGAGGCGTTACTGTGATTTCTGGAGGGAACTTGGTGACGGTGGAAGGGATGAGAAGCTTTGGCATGTTTGCTGGGACTTTGGAGCGGATTCGGCTTGGGTCTGGAAGCTTGGACTGCTCGCTGCTGGCATACTGCTGCTGGTCTGGGAGGGAGGTTTTAAGAGGACGTTCTGGAAGAACGTTTTTAACTCCTGTAGAAACACAAATACAGTCCTCCTTATACTGAAGATCACTCTTCATTTCACCCACAGTCTAACAGCTTTTCCTTCCACTTAATTTTCCATTACACTGATTAATATTTATCAGCCTCTTTGACGTTTTCCTTCTGAATGACTGTGTGCTACTTAATAATAGATAATTAATAATTTAATATGTTCCCTCTGATTGTTCACCCTGAAACATTTAAAAAGATTGGACTGAAAGAAACAGTTTTCTTTTTTTTTAAATAATCAGAATCACTTTATTAATAAATTCATTTCATCTTTAATTGTTTAATCTGAAAGCGATGGTAATTATATTAAATATAAAAGCTTGAAATATGTTAGTTTCATCACTTTTTTTTATGAAAAAGCGGAACCCTTTCCAGTGATACTCTAAAGCTGTATTCACACAGCAGCAGAAGCAGCTGGTTTACATGCAAAGTCAAAGGTTGACGTGCATCAAGGCGCAGCAAAAGCTCCCAGGCGCTTCTGAGCATCTGACGTGTGGAACGCGCTGCAAAAGCAGCTGCTGGAGTTGGAAAAATGTAACTTCTGCTGCTCGACGCGCCGCATCAACCAATCAGAGAAGCTGATCTGAGAGCTGGCAGGGAGACAGACACAGCACTGCTGATGCAGAGCGCTATGATCACAGTTTATTAACGCCTAAATTAACTTAAAATGTAGAAACCTGCCGGCAAAATGTGTTCGATTTCATTATTCTGGTGCCTGCAGTTTGGATTAAATACATGAAAACCACTAACATCTACTTCCTGCCACAGCAAACAGTAGCGGAAAATCGCGAAGAGACCCACTTTCCACCGCGCAGCTAGAGCAGCAACGATGCTTCAGCCGCGCTTCAGAACTAAACTTGTACCAGCATCAAAAATTAACGCATTTTTCCTGCTCCTTCTGCTTGCGGTCTGAACGTAGCGTAATTGACTGAGATGTGTGATGAAAAGGCGCTGACCTGAACAAGTTTGCGTCGAGCTACATGTTGCAGTTTCCTCCTGAAACCAACCAGCTGGAGCTTCTTTCCCCTGGGAGACGGTGGCCAGTTTCATCTGCTGACAGAGGTGGGACTCCTGCTGGCGGTACAGCAGCCCCTCTGAGGGCTCCTCCCGCTCCTCTGTGGAAACAAACATGGCAGATATCAGTTTACTATTAACAGACCAGTGCAACATGGAAACACTTGCATTATCAAACAACAAAGCACATTATTTCTAACAAACATATTCAAATGCATGATGATTAAGAAATAAAAATGCATTAAATAATCAGGAGTTTAAAAAAAAATTATGAAACATAAAATTAAATGTGGAAAAAATTATAATTTTATTTTATAATTTCTCAGGCCAACTTTGCAGAACTACATTGCAACATTGGAACAACATTCCCTCCGTAGAAGCGAACGCTGAACGCTTTATTCGACCTAAAGGCAGATCGTTTTTAAGTGGTGGAAACTTTGTCACATCACAAACATTTCCGCAGGGGAAAGTCTCCTTTTCAGATTCCCTGCAATTGGAAAAAAAAATCCTTTGCAGTCGTGAGAGGAATTTTTACACACAAATTAATACACACAAGCAACTGAGCTACAACTCTGTGATTGTTGCCTAGGAAACCTGATTTACATCGCTGAGATGCTGCATGTAGAAACGCTGTTGATCCAAACATGTTTGCATGAATTTGGACACGTCAGGAAACTTTGGGAAATCCAAAGCAGATTCACTGCTGTGTAACACTAAGTGATCTCTGTGTTGTTAATGTTTGATAAAAAAAAATGTGGTTTGTAGCATAAAAACAAATATCAATACCTTAAAAGGTTTGTTTTAGACAAAAGGTAAAAAAAAATATCCCTTAAAATGCAAAGTTAGCAACAACAAAACCATCTTTAAAGGTCTCTAGAATTAAAGTTTAAACACTCAAAGACTAATGACAAAAACATGTTGATATTAAAGATCCAAGAATTAAAGGATTTGCTTCTTGGGATATTAATCACGGCATAAACTGAATATTCATGGTTGATTCTGAGACAATTAAACCAAATTCTCCCTGAAACTCATTGAGACAGAAGGAACTCTGAGTCTGGAAGACGCTGCAACAGAAAATCTGTCTGGGGAGACAGAAGGAGGCAAAACAAACTGCACAGAGACAGACCTGTGTTATGTAACACATGTCAGGAAGAATGCAGGCGCCCCCTGCTGGCTGCAAGGAGTGAAACAACATTACAACCTTATAATGGAAAATAAAGAGTTTGGTTTAAAAATAGATAAATAAATGTAGGTTTTAGATGAAGAATCTCGTTTTCTGACGAGATCAGATGGGATTAGGTGACGGTACCTGCAGGTGGGAGGAACGTGTTGGCTGCAGCAGACTGGCCACCTGCTCTTCTGTGCTGCTGCTGATGATCATGGAAGCCTGAGCTCTGAGGTCTGGACATCTTGCTGAGGGGCTCACCGGCCGCCCTGGGCAGGCCGTCCTGGCCGGGCAGCGGGTGGCAGGCGGTGTGGCTGACCAGGACGGGCGTTGGCAGGGAGGCGGGGAAGAAGAGGTCTCTGTGCTCCTTGGTGTATTTGGGAGTGGTCGGGGTGTCGCCTGTGGACTGCTGGAGACAGAAACGAAGGAAAGCTGTTAAAGCGGTTTGATTAAGTGGGGCGGGGGGGTGTCGGTGCTATTCCGTTCCACCCTGAGGAAACAGAGGCGACTGTAAGGTTCTGCACCTCTGAGGCACTTTCCCAGCCGATCTTTAGAGGAGCACTTATGAACACGAGAGGCGCACAAACAACCTGCCACAACAGTCGGCCTGCTCCCACAGCCGCTGTCATGGTAACACGGAGGAGCACAGCTGAAAAGAAATGAATAAAGCGACTCTGGTTTTCAATTTCCAACAAAAGAAATGGTGGACGACTACTAACCTTCAGAGCGAATCTGCACCGCGTGAGACAAATGGGTCTCCAATAATTACAGCCAAACTAAACAGGACCTCAGTCAAAGTAAACACAGTGTGGCTTCAGAGGGGCCTGTGCTTAAAGGTTAACTACAACAATAAAAAAAATAAAAAGGCAGTTCTGGTAAGATGTCAAACGCCTGGGCTGAACTCCTACAAACACGCTGCACAATGTCACCATGACAAACGCACTCTGCACACAGTAATTTGGCTCATCTGCCATTTTCTCCCAGTAGTCTTCTGGGAGTTGAAGTCGAATTGTTCTCTGAATCACAGCAGAGTGTGACAAAATTTCCCCCACAGGATTCACACAACAATTTTCACCAAACAGCCTGATAGGAGAGTGGATCCTTCAGCTCTGGAGCAGAGTGGCTCAGCAGCTCCACTCCTGCTTTGATGATTCATATCTCATGAATTAAACATCAACAGCTCAGAAACCACTGAGTCAGCTGGGCCGCCGCGCATCGCAGGAAAGGCACGCATGCGGGACTGTAAAGGAGCGGGCTAAGAAGGTACGCTTTCTTTGTTAATAAGTGAGATCAAAGAAAATGTGGATGTGATGAACAATTTATACTGAGAAAAAACTATCCTGAACAATCATTAAAAAAAGCCTCTTAGACACAACCATCAAGTTTATTGACTTTATGACCACAAACTTTAATAGATTTTAATCCTGACCTTATCTTGGAACCGACAAACCCCTCACTAAAGCACGGTGGTGGCAGCATGGAGCCAAAACGTTTATAGGAAGATGGATGAAGCTAAATGAAGGTCAGTCCTTGAAGAACAGCAGAAAGGCTGAATACTTAACCACCAAAGCAATCCTGGTTTAGAACATAGTCTCCATTCATGGATGGAGAAGAATGGACAAAGGCCAGTTTTAAAATTTGTTCAACAACAGATCCACAGCTGTGATCGCTGTGAATTTGAAATCCTCCTGTAAAGCCCTGAATAACCAACCTCCATCTTATACCAGGGATCTGATCATTCCCTATGTTCCAAACAGAGCAGTCTGCTCTCAATAAGCAGGTTTATTAGTGGTTCCTAGAGTTTCTATAAGTGAATTGGAAGGCAGTTTCCTCTCCATTGGAACCAACTATGAGGCAGAAACCCTGTCTACGTTTAAGGCTAGGCTTACAGCTTTCCTATTTGACAAAGCTTAAAATAAGAGAGTCTATCTCTATAATTCTGCTGCTATAGGCTTAGACTGATGGAGGACATAGGGACCCCTTTTCCTCACTCTGCTTCATTACAATCTCTGTTCTGCAGTTCCACCCATCGCTTTTTTTGCATCATAGTATCTTCCTCTGGTCTGTTTGGATGTGACACCATCCTGGAGAGAAATGTCAGCTGGGCAGCTGCCATCAACACCTCTGTATGTAGATGATAGAGCTGAGCCATTTTTTCAGCTTTTAGTCCCGTTTCTCTCCTAGAGATTGATGGGCTCAGCTTTTACTGTGACTAACTAGATGTGCTCCCTTTCATCCCTTTGATATGAAATCTGGCTCAGAATTCGTCTGTTTACCTGTTTCTTTCCCGGACAGAGACCCATGCAGAGCTAGTTTACAGTTACCTTTTCTAACATAGAAAGTATTTATAAATCAAGTGTTTTTAAGTTCCTTTTGTTTGTCTGCTTCTGTCTCCTTGAACCCCGGTCGGCCTCGGCAGATGGCCGCTCACACTGAGCCTGGTTCTTACAGGTTTCTTCCTACTAAAAGGGAGATTTCCTCTCCACTGTCGCTGCATGCATGCTTGGTGTGAGGGATTGCTGTAGAATCAAAGACAGAATCAAAGCGACTGTAAACTCTCTCCATGTGAATCCTGCAAAGTCAATGAGGCAATACACTGTTTTTGTTTTTGATTTAGATAGAAACTTGAAACCAGTTTGAATGTATGAACAGATTGACCTCTTTTTGTAAAGTGCCGTGAGAGGAAGAGTGCTGTGAAGACGTGCTATAGAATTAAAATCTCAATAAAATAAAACTTTCTAGTTACAACATGCCGACTGTGAACAGTTAAAACATTAGGAATGTGTTGTGCAAGGGTGTGTGTATATACTCTTCATATTTTATCACCCTTATTATGCCTAAAAATCTAAACCAGTTTATTTTCAGAAGAACGCAAGAAGCATAAACAGAATTAGAAAAAAAAACTATCGGAGTGTTAAAAGAAGAGACACTTTCCTCCCAAATTTGGCATCAAAGGCAGAGCTAACATACACACATGCGATAGGAGCCGATGGTTTCCAGCCCGGCCCTATAAGGGCAGATCTCCCTGCGAACATGCTGAGGCTGGAAGGACATGCATGACTCTGTAGGATACTACCTTGTACTAAAGCAGGAATCGACTGCTGTTGGCACGGTTACAGCAGACTGAGCTGTGGGCCAGATTGTGGTGGTGGGAATATATTTCTTCTGTTTTACAGCAGAGTGACCCGCTACTCAGGCTGGGAGGTGTTCATGGTGTTCATCAGACTGACAGCCTGGGGGAAGGAACCGTCTCTGTGGTTAGGGTTAGAGAAGGTAAAAGGCTAAACTGTTTTTGTCCAGGATGTGTGGGGTCTGCAGAGATGGTAGCAGAACCTTTTCCTGACCACTTGGAATGATGGAGGACCGCAGGACAGACTCAATGGAGGTGATACAGAACAACCCATGACCAGCAGTATGATGTCACTACAGGGCGGAGCTTTCACATTCACAGCTGCATCTTTTGGAAAACATCTCTACTTGCTTGGAACATCTAGGAAGGCGTCTCAACCTGTTATTCTTGTTTTTTCTGATTTGATGGTGATCATCTGTCAGTTTGTGCCACAGATTCTCAATGGGATTGAGGTCTGAAGGCGGACTGATACACGTTTTTTAAGGCTGATGTTGGTTAAGGGTGTGCAAAATAATCGTCATGACGATGCATTGCGATTCTATTTTTTTGTGATCTACTGCATCGATTCTTGAAGGCAAGAATCGATTATAAAAATAAAAAAAAATAAACAAATAAAATACATTAATGGTTGGCGCACATCAGCTAAAACAAGTGGAATACAACTTCCAGTCCAGCAGATGTCGTTGCGGAAGTGTTGACGCCCGCTGCCTTGTGTCACAAGCATTTCCGGCCGCGGGATACTGCGACGAGTCATTCGTAAACAAAATATGGAGGAGACTGAGAAAATTCGCCCCGCTTGGATGCGTTTTGGCTTTAAAAACAAAGAAGGTAAAAATGAAATTGATATGATGCATGTAATTTGCAAAAGGACCACTGAAGCCATGTAAACGGCACTGATTATCCTTATTTTGTTATTTTAAGTTTGATGAATCCTAAGATCTTTTTGTCAGTGTGTCCACGCCAGTAATAGTAAGTAATTTCAATAAATACAGCTATGTATGATACAGTTGCTTTCAGTTATGTATCAATTGAAGACACCATCCAGGTCACAGACAGCCAGTCAGCCACTGGTAAGGGCTGTATCCTTTTCCTACAGTGTTCAGTGAAAATATTGCAACGCAACGCGATGCATCGCAATATTTCAAGTCATGATGCATCGTGATAGAATCGCATCGTGGCATGTGAATCGTGATTCGAATCGAATCATAACTTCTTTGCCAATACCCACCCCTAATGTTGGTACCGATTATTTTCATATCAGAGGCATGGCTTATATTTCCTCTGTTTGTCTTCAGTATTATACTTCTGGACTTAACATAAAATAAAGAACAAAATGGCAGAATTGTTAGTTCACGATTTTTAAAAAGATCAGTGACCAACCTGGAAACTGCGATCAGGGCAACCCTATTTTCAATTCAGTTCAGTTTATTTCTATAGCGCCAATTCACAACACGTCATCTCGAGGCACTTTACAGTTTAACCAGATCATCCAGTCAGATTGATTCAAAGTTTTCTATCTAGGGAAAACCAGTTGATTGCATCGACTCATTGACTCGAAGGCAATCCCTCAAACTAAGCATGCTTTTAGCGACAGTGGAGAGGAAAAACTCCCTTTTAACCGATAGAAACCTGCAGCAGTTCAAGTCCCTTGACCCCAGATTGCTCCCCGGGCGCCGCATAATGGCAGCCTACTGCTCCCCAGGATGGGTCAAATGCAGAGTGAATTTCCCCATTCTAACAATAAAGTGATTTACATTTATCATCCAACCAAATTTCCTATGGTGACAGACCTAATCCTGATCATAACCCTGAGAAAGGCTGCAAACATTTCCAAATTCCAGATTCTTAAAAGAATAAATCTACGACTCTGCTGTACTGTGACGAGCCTTGCTCTTATCTGATCAAAGTCTTGCTGTCTCTCGCCGTCCCGCAGCCCAAAAGAACCACAGAGATGCCCGGATAATAAAGTTCCGCCTAACCAGCTTGTTTGCATCTTTCGCTCCTTTGATTTTTACGTTCCAAAAAATCTACGATAATGAGAATCGCTGACTTTCTAAAGCGCAACATTCACAGCAGGGAGTTGTGGTTGACCCTGAGGTACAACACCGATTGGTGGAAATTCAGTCATTATCTTTCAGACCCGATCAAACTGAAAACCAGCTAATTTCTGGGTTTGTCTGTTTATCTGAAAACCTGGTGCATGTTTCCTCTTTGCTGTATTCATTTAAAAATAGACCTTCAGGATAATTGGAGCTGCAATGCGCACCATCTGAAATGTG